AGACCAAAGGTCAGTTTTATGTTATTTGATACTGTAACATGAGTGCATGTGAGCCGCATCATTGTAACTTCTGTATTGTTAGCCAGGCATGGCTGAAAGGTCAATATAATAAATATATATAAACGTATAATGTTATGAGATTTAAGCTATTTAGTTTAACATTTATGTTTTTGTGTTATATTTGTGTTCATTCTAGAATAAGAGGCATAATTTATATTTATTTCTTAATTTTATATTGTGGTTTTGAGATTGGTCAAATCTACCGAACCTGTACAGAGATTAATTACTAAAATTAACAGATAAAATATAAAGTTTTTTCTTAAGAAACATTTGATAACTATCTGTACATTATAATGATTTCACATGTGAAATTTAAAATTTTTCTGATGTATAAAAGTATTTTTAACCTTAAAATGAATATTACTTTGCATTATAGATAGGCAACATGCAAAAAGAAAAAAAAAGACACAAGAAAAACATTGCTTTACAAACCTTAAGACTTAATAAAAAAAAAATTATATTTTGCATATGAAAGCATTGTAATGTTTAATGATAATGTACCAAATTTCGTTAACAATCGCTTACTAATTTAAAAGTTATAATATGAAAACTATAACAAGGACAAAATGGTTATGAGGTCAGTCCCAGGGACGGAGCCCGTGCTGAAAGAGTTAAAAAGTTATCTGTGTGACAAAGTTTTCAGCATTTTTTTCATGTAAAAAAAAAAGAGAGGCTTCCACTTAAAAATCTTGTATTTTGGATTAATCAATGTCAAAAATATATAGTTCCCACACCATGGGCAGAATGACTTTTTCCTGGTCAAAATATGTTATTTCTTGACCATCTGATTTATGCTTGTAATGTATCATTGGACTATTACCTATAATAAATGTATAACTGCAAAACATTATTCCTGTATTATTTCACAAAGACAAATAAAGCAATATGTTAAGTTACAGTTTGCTTACATGTCATCTTTGAAAGTTTCAATATGATTAGCACACTGTTCTAGAATTATTGATACATTATAAAAACATACATATCAAAGGCAGCTTATCCATTTTTGATAACTGTACAACAAGTACACACATTATTAAAATCATCACTGATTCAGGGCACACTGTATATTGTCACATGTTCAACTATACTAAAACATATCCACATTTTTGAATTAATGTGACTATATATATAGTTATTGATTGATCACATTACCAAAAATATTTTCAAGCTTATGTAAATTTTGTTCATTCACAAGATTACCAGATTATGGTTACAAATAACTAGGTTGCATATTCTAATTATACATACAGGTCTCTTCAGATCTGCTGATAAAACATCTACAATGTTTACAGTTGCATTATTATCCTACACCATCATGATGTACAATTGTACTCATAGAGGCTACAGTAACTGACGCAGACACAAATGTTACTGCATGCAAACATCTTCATCACTGACATTGATACTGCATTACATCACTCATTTGGTTCTTACATTACACTGCTTATTACATTAAATAAAAGGTACTGCAAATAAAATGTTTACTAAAACTATTTACATTATTTTTATTCTATACACAATGACAAACACTAACACATCACCTATACTCAACTACATAAACACTACACAATCTCCATAGTAATTAATATCTGGATGTCAAGAGCATACTGTAGTCTGAAAGCCCATCATTTCAGAACAATATGAAAACTATTAATTAAATTCTGTCAAGCTGTGCATGCTCATCTTTACCTTCAGTCTTTATTCCTTCCTGTCTTTACCATCTTGTTTGTTGCTTAACAAACAATAAATTTTCCTTATATATTACTCAGGTATTCAATGTAGATTATTAGTTAAACACAATGTATTCCATTATTCAACTGTGCAAGTTCAACTGTTTCTAAAAATATTCATGGATAACAAATAGTGCTGTATTCTCAGAAAACCTAACATGCAACATATTATTAGATATTGTCAATGAAACATATTATAGCTCAGTATCTTTAGTTGAATATTTTTCCAAAACTTGTTGTTAGCTCCATATTACTGATATTATACACTGCCATCCATATTTTGCTTTTTATGTGTTTTCCTTAACTGTCACTGGTGATATTCTACTTGTCTCTTGGAGATATCACCCATCAACAACCCCAGCTCAAGCTGTATTATGCATCATGACATCTGAATGAAATGCTTAATAGTGAATATTTGGTTTTATAATGAATTACTGATAAATTATTATTTTATATAATTAATACAATTACTTTAGGTAACTGGTTGAACAAATATAAGTACAGCTATGAAATAAATTTAACATTAACCACAACTGTGTACATTTGTTCTATCTTTGAACTGTCAGACTTAATGAAATAATCAAACTGTTTTCATTTTAACATATTTCAAATTTTTCTCATATATATATATATATATGTCATTAACGTAAAATAATCAAGATATTAAGTAAAAGATCAATGTAGACAAAACAATATTAATGCACAAAATATGTGAGATTTTCAAATAATTAACAGCAATTTATTTTTTTCCCCATTCATGTCACAGAAGCATCACTGAGTCACAGGAAAATCAGATAATATGTTTTAATTGTGTTGACCATCTCATCCAGGAAGCATGGCCTAATCAACTGCTCTTTGTTGCCAAACTAATACGTCTCTTTTGGACATATTCTTCCAGCACCACCCACACCACAGAACAGCTTCCACAGCATAAGAAACAGTGTATGTGGGCACAATACTGAAATATATAAAATGCTAGAATTGCTATGGGTGCAAATATGGTAGCTTAAGTCTGTAATAATAACCCCTTGCTTTAGTTTTATGGCATTGAAAATATTTAGGTACCCATCTAGGACATGTAAGATGGGCATATCAGTCAATATAAGTTTCAAACTCTGGAAAGTCTTCTTGAATGACCAGTTGGCAAACTTCAACAGTGGTAGAAGCAGCTCTGCATAAGATGGGATGCTGTTAAGGTGATTTTCGAATTCTCACATTAGCGTGCTGTTCTTTCTTTGCCAATACAATTCATTATGTTAAAGATAGTGTACTAAGCTTTAAAAATCTTCATTATTTCATTATATGAATATCCTTCATTGAAAAAGGTTGCAACACAAACGTATCCAGCCAGAAGTACATCGATAGTTGCAATGCATTACCAAATGGTCGGACAGTAGCTGGGAATGAAGTGTTTAAATGAACATTCATCCAGTACTTAACATGCAGCCATATAAAAGAAAACATAAAGCAACTATATCTCCTTAAACTAAGATTACATCTAAACTTTTTGATATAAAATCGTGAAAGAATATAAACATTAAGAAATGTACTAGTTTCAACCAGGATAAAAATTTTATCATGCACTAGTTGGAAATTAAAAAAAAAGATGAAATAAAAATAAAAAAGGTACAGAATTTCATTAAAGCATTTTGTACCCATAGACAGAATACTATGACTTTTGCTTACCAGCAACATCAGTTGCCACTAGAATGGGCACTTCCTTCTTCTTAAAAGATAAAATTACTTTTGTTCTCTCATTCTGGTCCATATCACCATGGAGTAAAGCCACTGAAAATTATAAAGCTATGTTATTAACAGTTGTAATACAAAAATAGCTAAGTAATAATCTCCAAACATAATTTTATATTGTATAGCGAGTTTTAATTACAGCTGATAATGTGAATAATAATAAAAAAATATTCTTATACAGTTATTACTAGCATTTTTTCAAGTTATATAAAAAAAAATGCACTATGAGCTGATAAATTTTCAGTACAGTAATGTTAAATTACTTTTACAACTTTTATAAAGCAAGGTGGAAACAATTTTAACAGCATTTTTCTTCACTGCACAAGATGTATGTTGTCATTTGTAGCTTTTCATCAAATTATGTATATATATATAAAGCACAAAAATCTGTGTCTGTCTGTTTGTCATTTATCTAACTACTCCTACTTCACTGGGCTAATCTCAACCAGAAATTTGTGGAATAATAGTTTGGAACAAGGGGCATGTTAATGAGGTGTTCACAACCCCTCCACCCCCTTTATTGCTGTTGTTGAGTATTCATTACCTTTGATGTATGTTAACGTTAACTACTTCATAGAAGGCTCTATAATTTTCTATAACACAACATACACAAAATGAGAAGGGCACACAAGCATCTTATATATATATATATATATATATATATATATAATATATATATAGTGTGTCTAGTACTTACTCTATAGAAGTAAGTAAGTAAGTAAGTAAAGTAGAA